CTGAGCTGTCAGCACAGAGCCCGACGCAGGGCTCGAACCCATGAACCGTGAGATCATGACCTGAGACGAAGTCGGACGCTTAACCGACTGAGCCATCCAGGCGCCCCTACATTCCTTCTATCTTGGAGTGAATCTGGATCGTTTTCATTTTGCTTTTGTAGTCATTGGGTGGGTTTAGTCAAGCATATTTTTGCCACTTAATGGGGACTAGAAAGAAAAGGCAAATGGAATTTATGACCTATTTTGTCAGATTCCACAAATGTAAAAACTATACCAGGGGATGAGCGATTGCATTTGCCTGATTTGGAAGAATAACTCTAGTTGGCGTGCTGTGTTTAATTTATGTGTCCAAATCTCAGCAAATTGAAAATTAATTTTATAATGGTTTTCGATGTAACTATGCATTTGGGGCATAGTTAAGGATCGGGGTGTTTTGGTTTGTTTTGTACTTTGCTTTTAGCTGAAAATTTTGTACAAGAAGATCAGCAGCTGGAAAAAGAACTGTATGCCTTAGTGTCTGTCTTTGTTTAACTTGTAGATGGACTTACGGATTCATCCAGGCCAAGCAATTCATTTGCTGCTCAACCCTGGCATAGTTGCCATAAGCTGATTTATGTACGGCCTAACTCTAAAACTGGTGTTCCTGTTGGACATTGGCCAATTCCAGAATCTTTTTGGCCAGATCAGAATTTACCTTCACTAGTAAGTAGCATAAAACAAAATGGTAAACATCATTTGGGTTTTCCGTTTCCTGATTACAGTGACCCTTGTAAATTACTTTGAGGATTTTAAGCCGTGCTTTCTATCTCTTGCTGGGAGTCTAAGCTTGTACCAGAAAGCAAGAGAGGACTTCGTGCTATTCTGGCAGTCTTCCTTTCAGTGGCTTTTGCCACTTGAGCTGCCCACTTTGGATGTTAGGGCATGGCTATTTTTGATGGTGTTGCGATCGGTGGCTTGGCTCTTATTTCAGAGTGGCTGACTTGATTTACATGGCAGACGCAATGTCTGAAGAGTGCTAGCATTGATTTTCATGTACATCCTCAGGGAATTACAATTTAGCTTGCACCTTGTGTAGGTTCTAGAAACATATTCAAAACAGAAGCTCTTCTACATCTTTCTAGGGAGTCACTAGACACCTAGTGGAACTTTGTGGACCTGCTTTTCATCTTTTTGTAGTCAATGGACTTGTGTTCCTTGGCAATGTACCTCCCAATGATGGGTAGTTAAGCAATATATATATATATATATATATATATATATATATATATATATTTCGAGAGGAGGCAGAGAGAGAGAGAGAGAGAGAGAGAGAGAAAGAATCTCAAGCAGGCTCCATGCCTGGCACATGGTGAGCTCGATCTCATCATCCTGAGATCATGACCTGAGCCAAAATCAAGAGTCAGACGCTTCAGCAACTGAGCCACCCAAGCGCTGTAACTAAGCGATCTTTTAAAGATTATCTCTCAATGAGGACGTTCCTTTTTCCTCACTGCATTCAGGAGAGGAAGGTTTGATATTGTAGTTGCTCCTTTTTAGTCCCAGATGAAGTGGACTTTTGTGGGAGACAGGTATCTGCTAACACGGGAAAGCGCACGAAACCCACTCCCCCTTCTTCCTCCCCGCAGCCTCTGTAAAAAGGCCAGAGCAATCCTCCTTCTGTGGGCACAAAACAATCACCGAGCCTTCAGTTTAGCCCCTTACTGCTTCAGCCCGTCTCTGTTCTGTGTACGTTTTAGAAATTTCTGACGTGAACTGCATTTTCTCCTGGCTTACTCCTTTTAGGCTCCTGTTTTCAGGAGAGGCCATGAGGCTATAGGACTGAAGGGCCACTTCTGCCCCGGCTGGGAGTGAGGGTACATCTCCTCCACCTTCCCTCAGGGCTCCAAGGTGACACACTGGTCAGATCCCGGTGCCCAGTTGCTCTCAGCTCCAAACCCGAGAGAGTGAATGTTTTGGTCACGAATTTACTTTAATGTCGCCAGTGACGGGGCTTCACTTGGGTCTTTACGGCCTTTTTTTTTTTTTTAAATCGGTTTAAATGTAAAAAGCCAGAAATATTTCTCAAGTCTAATTGAAATGAAAATCAGGAAAAAACTGGAATGAAAGAAATTCCGGCTCACTCCCACATCACCCGTGTTACCTACCATCCCTGCAGCTCTGAAAGCACATCTGATGGCTGTTTCGACTCCCAACACATCTTGTAGGCGTGTAAACCATAAAGGCAGAGGAGCATGTTTTTCCCCTTTAAAGGGGAAACAGAGATGGTTTGTCACATTCATGCTCGGCTTAGAGAGCTCTCGGCAAGAACAGGTGCAGCCACATCTCACCCTTGTCCCCGGGACTCGGTCCTGTCTTCTCATCTCTTGGGATTTCTCTTGCTGCCGCCATGTCTCTCCCGGGCGCTCTCTATCCCCACAAGCTAAACCTGTTAACGAAACGGCTGCCCCACCAATCTGCTCTGCTACCCCAGGCACAGAGGCCTTTGCAGCCCAGTCCAAAGCATACCCAGCCCTAGCTGTTCAAGGCAAGCGTGTGGGTGTGAGGAGTGCTATAAAAATTTCAGTTGAAAAAAAAAAAATTTCCACTAGTTCTGGGTGTTGTGACTGGCACATTTGGGGGCACCTGCCTTGCCCTTTCCATGCCTTTACAGTTTTTCATTTTGCTTGTTAGTGGCTCTAGGTCTGTCATCAACTCATCAGAAATCTTCATGGATTTCTTCTTTGCTAGCCACGTCTGGCCCATCCGTAACCTTTTGGGTACAAAGGAATGAAGGGCGGGTCATGCTTGGAGGTTGCAACAGTGGATCTGAAAATCAGGGTTCATCCTATGGATCATCGGTGACTTCCTAACCGTATTCAAAGCAGTTGTAGTTTTCACTTCGCATGGAAGAAATAAAGAATCTGTGGGCCCTTCCCGGATGGAAGCCGTTGGTGATGCCCTCCTTTTCAAAGCGCTGGTTTTATCTCAGCGATGGTTTAACAAAAACACGAAAGGGGTTGCAGATTTGTCAGAAATATAAGCTCACTTGCTAACGGACCGTATTTTCCCCTCTTGTTTTTTAGCCTCCACGAACATCTCATCCTGTTGTGAGGTTCTCCTGTGTAGATTGTGAGCCAATGGTAATAGACAAACTTCCTTTTGACAAATATGAACTTGAACCTTCACCCTTAACTCAGTACATCCTGGAACGAAAGTCTCCCCATACCTGCTGGCAGGTACTTCCCCTTACCTGTTGGCCCAATGTCTGTAACCACTCTGGGATCGGGGAATTGTTTTGAGAAGTTGCAAAGGTTAATCTAGGAATAATTAGACTGAATCTGTTAATAACTTTTCTGACAAATCCTATCAAATAAGCAACAGGGCCAAGCAAATCATTTCAGTGTGATAGGAATCATTAGCCTCCTGACATTGCCATTTAAGGGAGTGGAATCTGATGACACCTGTGTATTTGAGGATTTGGCGGACCCCTTGAAGCCTATTCAGGGACCCCAGGTTAAGCATCCCTAACCTAAAGGATGTCCTTCTATTTAGCTGTGGCTTCTGCAGCTGAACCTTAGCGTGAACTTGACAGATTGGAAGTACAAGATCTATTTTTTTAAAAAAAAAAATTTTAACGTTTATTCATTTTTGAGAGAGACAGCGTGAGTGGGGGAGGGGCAGAGAGAGAGGAAGACACAGAACCCAAAGCGGGCTCCAGGCTCTGAGCCGTCAGCACACAGCCCGAGCGGTGCTCGAACCCATGAACTGCGAGCTCCTGACCTGAGCCGAAGCCGGACATTTAACCAACTGAGCCACTAGGGCGCCCCACAAGATCTATTTTTTTAAGCTTTTCTTTAAATTCCAGTTAGTTAACATACAGGGTAATATTAGTTTCATGTGTACAAAATATTTTTGACACAGACACACACACAAACCTTAAGCCCTGAAACTACTTTTTGGATTAGTGTAATGTAACCAAACTTCTCTTCCTGTACCAAGCACATTGGCGTGTGTAATGTGGATTTTACTTGGACGAGGCAAATGCACATATGCTGGCTCTTCCAGGTGTTATACTCCAGCCAGAAGGGCTTGCTGATTCGTTAATAGATTCACCTTTGGATATTAGTTTGTAAAAATCCAGACACGGCAGTCACAGCCTTTTTATTTGGATATAATAAGGAGGCCCCACGCTGGAAGTATGTTTGTTCTATTTCTAGACTACAGCACCATATAGCAAATCAGTGATTGTTAGGTTCTATTTACACAAGAAACACTTTTAGACTGCCGTCTGTTTCATCCTAAAATGTGCGATTATTGCTGCTAGCTGTCTTTAAGCCACTTAAATTCTCCAAAGATGCTAAAACTGGTTAGAAAAAAAGGAGCAAGCTTAAAGCAAGCATGTAAGAGTGCAAGAAACAGAACAATCTCATAAATATAATAGTGAGCAAAAGAAGCCAGACATAAAAGATCCCATGTCCTATGATTCTATTTTGTCTACATTCAAAAAAAGGTACAGTTGGCTTACTCTGTCAGAAGCCAGAATAGTGGTTTTTCTTGTGGGTGCAGAGTTGTGACCAGCAAAGGACATGAGGGGGTTTCTGGTCATCGTTCTATTTCTTGGTCTGGGTGCCAATTACACATGTTCAGTCACCTCGTGAGCATTCATTGAGCTGTATACTTTTTTTTAATGTTTTCTTTTTATTTTTGAGAGACAGAGAGAGACAGAGCATGAGTAGGGAAGGGGCAGAGAGAGAGGGAGACACAGAATCCGAAGCAGGCTCTGGGCTCCGAGCTGCCAGCACAGAGCCTGACGCGGGGCTCGAACTCACGAACCGTGAGATCGTGACCTGAGCTGAAGTCGGACGCTCAACCGACTGAGCCACCCAGGAGCCCCCATTGAGCTGTATGCTTATGATTCATGCACATTTCTGAATGTATGTTTATATTTCGGTTAAGTGCACTGGAAATGTGCTAGAAATGTAGAGCTATGGACAGTAGAATGTTAAAATCAAGATAGGAGGTTTGACTTCATGGGTTGACAAAAATTTCGCAATAAAAGCAAATACAAATTATAGCTTTCCCCTAACACAAGCCCTCTTTTCCAAATGGCACATTTCTTGTAAATCTTATCCAAAGAAACTTAAATCCAGCCCTGGCTTCCTGCACCACCCCTTAACTATGCCACATGCCTATCTCCTGTACCTTACGTTACTTTGATTTAGAGTAGTTTTAATGCAATGAATTAGTGGGGATGAACAAGAATAAGATGAACCAGGAGCCAGGAAATTTGGCTAATTCCTAATGGAGACTGGATTCCAACCCTTAACTCTGCCACCAGTTTATGTGGTCTTGGGCCAGATACTTACTTTCTCTAGACAGTCTCTAATGATCCCTTTGAACCCCCAAGTTCTTTGAATCTGCAAGTGATAAGGAATTTGGAAGAACTCGAAGGGCTTATGAGAAGGAAGGAAGGGAGGAAGGAAAGGAAGGAAGGGAAAAAGGGAGAGAGAGAGAGAGAGAGAGAGAAACAAAACAGTGTTTCTCCCTTCATGGGAATCATAGGTCTGACCCTTGACAGTGTGTGTAATGCTTTTGATCCTTTATGATGATTTTTCCTCTTCTGTTATACACACTTAGGAAATAGGGCAAAACGTACCATGTGTTATTACAGATATTTGTTTCTATTAAGGTTCAGATTATGACACAAAGTCTAGATGAGTCCTGTTTTACAGCTCAACTCATTGTATGTGGGGTCATAAATGGCATAGGAAAGATTTATTCTTAGCTATGACTAAACATAGCAAGAATTTACTCAACTGGTAGATGATATTGCTGGTACCAGCAATTAGCAAGGTAGATGGATTCTCTTTACCACCAGGGTTTGACTTTTGTCTTAAATGATCCTGCTGAAGGACTTTGGAAAAGACAAAAGTCTAGGTCCCTAAAAGTATATGTTGGTGCCCTGATTTGGTCCAAAGAGCAAACACGGAACACTGAGAAGGCATGGTAGCCAGAGGACTTCAGCACAGCACAGCGAGTGTATGGGAACTGACAATATAATATATAGCAAATCAGGAATATCGATAAAGGAGAAGATGGAGTCACACGGAATAAAGATTAATGTTTTGATCTTTAGTGAATGTTTGCTCTACCAGCATAATTTATAAGACAAAAATGCCTTCCAGACTGAACCAAAGCATCTCCTTGCTGCCTCAAAAGAATTAGCACCAGTGCCTGGCTTATAATAGGCTACTTGATAAATGTTTATTGGATGAGAGGCACCTGGGTGGCTCAGTCGGTTGAGCATCCGATGTCGGCTCAGGTCATAATCTCACGGTTCATGAGTTCAAGCCCCGCATCGGGCTCTGCACTGACAGCTCGGAGCCCGGAGCCTGCTTCGGATTCTGTGTCTCCCTCCCTCTGTGCCCTGCCCCTCTCACGCTCTCTCTCTCTCTCTCAAAAGTAAATAAACATTAAAAAAAATATTGGATGAAAAATGAATAAATGGATAGGGGAATGGGGGTACCAAAAGGAAGTAGAGCAAGACTGATAATCGTACACATGAGGAGTGTTAGCATACTACTTTAAACGGGCTTTGCTTTTGTAATTGCATGCTTTAGGCATGGGGCCATATTCCATTTTTCTAAAGCCTCCACTCCAGTCACCACTTGTTCTTTTGAGAAGTCAGTTTGTTTTAATGGCTGGTTATCACTTAGCACTATTTCAGCCTTGTTTGCCATTGTGCTAACCAAGTAAATATTTGAACGTTGTGGTCTCCGAGCGGTTATTGCACAGTACGGTGTCATTTCTTTTTCTTAAAAAAATTTTTTTTTCATTTTATTTATTTGAGAGAGAGAGAGAAAGACTGCCCAAGCAAGGAAGAGGGGAAGAGGGAGGGAGGGGGAGAGAGAGAGAGAGAGAGAGAGAGAGA